TGCAGTTGCTATGTGTTAGGGATTTCTGTTGCGTTAATTTAGTATAATGCGATTTAATAGTTTCGATGATAATTTCTCGTTTCTAATCTCCGTGAAAATTTCTGTGTGTGTTTAGGTTAAGAGATTGAAAACAATGTTCAAGGAAGCTGGCTTAAGAAGCTTAGGAGAGGTATGAACAAATCTTTATTGTTTTAATTGACAATTTTCTATGTTGTTTGTTTGTTTCACTATAAGTACCATTGCTGATTTTAAGATGTTGTTAGGATGTTGGTTCGAGGTGGACGATTGGTAACCGGAAATTGGATGCTAAATCTGTTGCCAATGTCAATTCTGGGAAAGTGAGTAATGGTTATGGACTCAGGAATGCTCCTCCTCCTCAAGCGAGAGGTAATAACGATGGTGGCTCAAGTTCAGACATGGACATTGCTTCTAATTCAGACGAAGAGACATACGAGAGACACCACTCGCCTCAAGATTATAAAATTCATGTTGGTTTGCCTCATGTAAATAAAATGGCAGCTCAAAATGGAGTTGGGCGTAATGGTGCAAAGGCCTTCTTTGGTGGAGATGAGACATCAGACTCGGCTACTAGCACCGAAGTTTCATATGTACTATTCTTTTTTCTAACTTTTTACCACTTCACAGAGATTATGATACTTTGTAAATCTGTTCTGATTTGATTATAATGTTTACAGGAAGCAGAAGCTTGTGGTGTGCGGAACAATGTATCTTCGTATAATGAATGTGAAATAAGAAGAGATTTTGAAGCTGAAACTTCAGGAAGGACGCAGAACGGGACTAGCACTTCAACGAGTTCGTTGCCTCCTCGTTTCCCCACTTTTCACGCGAGGTCTGAGTTACATATTTTGATATCTTGTTATTTTTCTCTATTTTAATTATTCATTCTCACATTTTGTTTGGTTTGAATGCAGTGAGCAAGGTCCATGGTCTGCGATGATTGCCTACGAAGCCTGTGTGCGTATATGTCTTCATTCATGGTCCATGGATAGTGTCAGCGAGGCTTCATACTTCCTGAAAAACGAATGCACGATAATGAGGAATGCATTTAGTTTGCAGAAGTTTTTCCTTCAATCTGAAGAAGAGTTACTGGGAAAGAGACCTTCTGAGTTGGTTACCGAGACATCAGCTCCAAAATCTAAGAAAACCATTGGAAAAATTAGACTTGAAGGTATCATTTTTTCCTCCCACTGAATTTGACCATTTGTAGAATTTTGCAGCACTTGTGTTTATGAGAGCATGTTTTTTGTACAGTTCGTAGAATTAAAATGGGATTGGATTCACCACTTGGCTGTAACATTGCATCAATGGCGGTCTCAAAGGAAAAGCTCGAAGTTGTTCGTCAGCATATTACGGAATTGAATTCTACTTTATCTTCTGGATGGAAAGCAGTGAAGAAAGTTCATGTCACTCCTCAAGTTCCTCTAAATGGTTCACTTTCACGTCAAAGCTTGGCTTACCTGCAGGCAGCTGCTCGCTACCTTAAACAAGTCTCAAAGGCAGTTAAAACTGAAATCGTTACATCTCACACTGAACCGCAAACTTATGAAACAGTACAAGGTATTGCATTGTACTTTGGACATTACTCTTCGTCTTATGTTGGTTATCGGTATTTGATTCTTTTTGTTTTCAGAAACATATTCATGTTCATTGAGGTTGAAGAGCTCTGCTGAAGAGGATCAAATTAAGACGCAACCTGGATCTGGCGAGACTTTTGTTTTGTATGTGCCCTTGTTTGTTCACATGATTGTTAAGTATCTTTCTTTCTACTCTTTTAAAGGTAGAGAGCTTAATGTTTTTTTTTTTTTTTTCTATTGTAGCTTACCAGATAGTCTTGGTGATGATTTGATCATTGAAGTTCGAGATTCGAAGGGACAACTTCTTGGTCGTGTCCTAGCTCAGCTAGCTGCTATAGCTGATGATCCGGTAAGATTTTCTCGCCCAGAAGATTATTTTGTTTTCAGATCACTGAGTCCATTAGATGATGAAGCTAAAGATCTTAAGTTTTTTATTTTTACTGAAGCGGAATGAGAAGTTGCGATGGTGGTCAATATATCATGAACCAGAGCATGAACTGATTGGCAGAATTCAACTTGGTGTAAATTACTCAAGCAGTCTAGATGAAAAAACTAAGTGTGGATTGGTGGCAGAAACGTCAGCATATGATCTGGTCCTAGAGGTGGCTATGAAAGCAGAACGATTTCAGCGAAGAAATTTACTGTTTAAGGGCCCATGGCACTGGATGATAACTCGATTTGCATCCTATTACGGCGTTTCAGATGCGTACACAAGATTAAGGTAATAACTGAGTGACAAAGAATAGTTATGGTGTCTGAAAATATCTTTTTCGGTGGTTAAGCGATGTTTTGTGAGGATTGCAGATATCTTTCTTATGTCATGGATGTCGCGTCGCCTACCAAGGACTGTCTTGATCTGATACATGATTTTCTATTCCCTATTTTAATGAAAGGCAACCACAAGGCTGTATTGAGTCACCAAGAGGTGGGTTAACTTTGATTGTCAAGTTGTTATCTTCATTACTCAAGTAGCTTGATTTAAAAAATTTGGTGCCTTTTTGACAGAATCGGTTACTGGGGGAAATTGACGAACAAACTCAGCAGATTCTTGCTTCAGCTTTTGAGAATTATAAATCACTTGATGAATTATCTTTCTCCGGGATGAAAGATGTTTTCGAGTCTGCTACAGGGACTCCAGCACCGGCGATAGAATCTGCAGTTAAGCTTTATGGCCTTCTCAACGATGTATTAACCCCCGAGGCACAGTTGAAACTTTGCAGATACTTTCAGGTATCAATCAAACTCTTTATCTGTTTCTTAACCATATTCTTATTCGTATATGTGATCAATCACCTATTCAAACTATTCAGGCTGCTTCAAAGAAGAGGTCAAGAAGGCATTTATTGGAAACAAATGATTTACTTAACAACCGTAGTGAAGGTGCTGCACCAGTTGATCCCATGGCGCTTCCAGCTTCTTATCGAAAGATGAAGTCTTTAATCTTGAGCCTTAAGAATGAAATATCCACTGACATAGCGATCCATAACTGCAATGTGCTCCCAAGGTTTGTTTAAGACTCTGAAGTCGTCAAAGATGGGCATTATTGATGTTAACTTAGATATATACTGTTTGCTTCACGGTATATCTTTCTAATGATTCTCTCTGTGAACTCTCAAACAGCTTTATAGACCTTCCAAATCTGTCAGCATCAATATATAGTGTGGATCTTTGCAATAGGCTCCGCGAATTTCTTCTCGTATGGGCTCCACCTGGACCATCGCCTCCAGTTGTTGACCTTGTTATCACAACTGCTGACTTTCAGAGAGATATCTCTAGCTGGAACATAAAGTAAATTCACTGATATCTACTCTTTATCTCTTTTTATACTTGTCTGTTACCGATGGACACTTACATATTGTGTTGTCATGTTGCAGTCATATTAAAGGTGGTGTTAATGCCAAAGAGCTTTTCTTTTCATATATCACTAGCTGGATTGAAGAGAAAAGACGTGTTCTATATGAACTATGCAAGCTAGAGACGGTACTATTTGTTTACTGCAGAACGTTGAACGTGCTAAACCTGTTTTTCCATCGCAATTGAATTACATTTTGTTTGTTTTCAGGCAAAAGCATGTGGCGAGATTCCGGGATTGACTTCTCCTTTTGTTGATGAGATGTATGAGAGACTCAATGGGACACTTGATGAATATGATATCATCATTAGGCGTTGGCCAGAATATGCAGTATCCTTGGAGAAAGTAAGTGAAACAACAAACTTATTTTCATTCTTTTAATTCCACATTCTGTTAACTCCAGGAGTAATGACCTTAACATCACATAAATGAGTATGAACCAACGTTAGAGAGTTGCTTTGAGCTTCACTATCGTCTCATTCTTCTTACGTACTGATGTTGTTTCATGGAAAAAAGGTTGTAGCAGATGCGGAGAAGGCAATAGTTGAAGCAATGGAGAAACAATTTGCCGAGATCTTATCTCCATTAAAGGAAAGTAAGATATTTGGACTGAAAATTGTCCAGAAATTCACCAAAGGCACACCGAACCCTTACTCTGTTCCAAAAGAGGTATGTTGCTTACTTTAAATTTTAAGTTTTCTTGGACGGAAGATGAGAAGACATTAATGGAATTTATGTAAAAATTTCAGCTTGGAGTTCTCTTGAACTCGATGAAAAGAGTGCTTGATATATTACGCCCGAGTGTAGAGAACCGGTTCAAATCTTGGAATTCTTATATCCCCGATGGAGAAAACAGAATATTGGGAGAGCGGTTAAGTGAAGTGACAGTATTATTAAGAGCGAAGTTCAGAAGCTACATGCAAGCTCTTGTGGAAAAACTCGCGGAGAATGTATGTACTCTAAAACTTGAATTTTTTTCTGGTTTCTCTTCTCACCATCTTTGTTAAAACCTTGATGATTTTTATTATGTTTTAACAGACGAGGATACAAAGTCAGATGAAGCTAAAGAGTATAATCCACGATTTGAGGGAAACCACAGCGGAGCCGGATGTTAGAAGCAGAATGATGGCATTGAAGGATTTGCTAAACAAAACCATCGATCATCTACACGGTGTTTTCTTACCTGATGTGTTTGTATCGATCTGCAGAGGAATTTGGGACCGGATGGGACAAGTAAGAGACATCATTCCATTGCATTACATTACATTTATTGTTTTTGTCTTCCGCCTTAAGCTTCACTGTTCTTTTCTTTTTCTCAGGATGTGCTTCGTCTTCTTGAAGATAGGAAAGATAATGTGACTTGGCACAAAGGCCCGAGAATCGCGGTTTCGGTAAGTTAACTCTTTTGAAGACCCATAAACAAAATGTCCACTGCTGTTTTTCTTATCTTATTTACCCTATCCGATGATTTTTCAGGTTTTGGATGAAATCTTTGCGACACAAATGCAAAGTCTGTTAGGGAACGGTCTCAAGTCCGAGCACTTGGAGCCACCTCGATCGATGATGGAACTCAGGTCCATGCTCTGTAAAGATTCTACAGACTATAGAGAAGGAGGTTACAACTACTAGTATCAAGACTTGGGAACCAGTGAAGAATTTGGTTCTTACGGTTATGTTTTACTGTTCATTGGTAATGGTGAAAATTTTTGGGCAGTAACTCTGAAACCAAACAATTGTACTTAACAAAAACGGTGGAGAGAACACAAGTTACAAATTACAGTAGT